AAAAACCTAAAGAATATGTAGTACATTTAACACATATTCAAAAATCTAAATTATCTTAAAAGTGTTTCTGTGCTGGGTGATTAAGGCAGCAAGCGGTGACAGACAATTATGCATGTTAAGATTAACTGCAGTGATGTTTGGTGGATTATCTTTAAAACTGAATTTACATGAGGATCCATAGCACGTTTTCGTGTTTTGTACCGAATTCTGCCTGCCTGCCAAGAACTGCAGGCACCTCATGGGTGATAACGGTCATTTATGCTGAGAAAAGAGGTGGATGCAAATCTCGGCAGGTAGCCTACAAAATTTGATCTGCCGAATTATGCATCTACCTCTTTGGGTCCTTCTCAGGCACTTTGCTGTGCTCATTGATCAAACAACATTATCACCACATATATTTACTGAATAATAATAATAATAATCTTTATTTGTAGAGCACTTTTCAAAAACAAGTTACAAAGTGCTTTAACAAATGTAAAGACAATAATACCCAAAATCAATAATACCCAAAAAACAATAATACAAAAACAATACAAGATAAAGAAAAGACTAAAATACACATTTAAGATAAATATAAAATTAGTAAAATAGAATAAAATAAAAGGGATAAAATAAAGTCAAATAAGATCAGGAAAGGCTCTCCTATAAAAGTATGTTTTAAGAAGGGACTTAAAAGAGTTCACTGACTCAGCTGACCTGATTTCCTCAGGCAGGCTGTTCCAGAGCCTCGGGGCCCTGACAGCAAACGCTCTGTCCCCTTTAGTTTTCAGTCGAGACTCTGGAACAGACAACAGACTTCTGCCCGAGGATCTCGAGGTACGTGCTGGTGTGTATGGGACTAAAAGTTCAGAAATATAACAAGACGAGAGGCCATGAAGAGCTTTAAAAGTAATCAATACAATTTTAAAGTCAATTCTAAAACATACTGGAAGCCAGTGTAATGAAGCTAAAATAGGAGTAATGTGGTCATATTTCTTTGTTCTGGTTAAAAGCCTGGCAGCTGAGTTCTGGACAGTCTGGAGTCGATCAATAGATTTTTGGTTAAACAGGTGAAAAGGCTGTTGCAATAATCCAGGCGTGATGAGATGAAGGCGTGTAAAATGGTCTCGGTGTCCTTAAAAGTTAAAGAATTTTTGCTATATTTCTAAGTTGATAAAAACATGATTGGACAAGCTTTGTGGTGTGCTGCTCGAAATTTAAATTACTATCAAACCAAACACCAAGGTTCTTTGCCACAGGCTTAATGTGATTTACTAGGGAACCAGCAGATGGCAGTATTTGATTTGCCATCTGCTGGGACCCGATGATCAGGATTTCTGTTTTGTCTGAGTTCAGCTGGAGGAAATCATCCATTTTTTAACTTCACAAAGGCAGTTGTTAAGTGAACTCAGAATTCCAGGGTCTGTGGATCTGATGGGCAAGTATATTTGTGTGTCATCAGCATAAATATGAAAAGAAATGCCATGTTTATGGATAATATGTCCAAGGGGAAGCAGATACAAGGAAAACAAAATGGGTCCTAAGACCGACCCCTGAGGCACACCATATTTAACTGGACAGGGCGAAGAGACATAGTTGTTTACAGACACACAAAACTTCCTATTTGACAGGTAGGATGAAAACCATTTTAAGGCAGTACCAGAGATCCCCACCCAGTGCCTCAGTCTGTCTAACATGATGTTGTGATCAATGGTGTCAAAAGCACCACTAAGGTCCAGGAGTACCAGGACTGAGCACATGCCTTCATCAGCAGACATTAAAAGGTCATTGGTGACTTTAAGCAGGGCAGTCAAACCACTTCCTCAAACCAGACTGAAACTTTTCAAATATTTTGTTATTTTCCAGTACAGTGAGCAGCTGTTTGGACACAATTCTTTCTAGAATCTTTGCAATAAAAGGCAGTTTTGAAACTGGTCTAAAATTATGTGGGAGGGAGGGATCTAAACCAGGTTTCTTTAAAAGTGGGTTCATGCAAGCCATTTTAAAATAATCAGGGACACAACCAGTAGATAGGGAGCTGTTGAAAACAGAGATCAAATGGGGCCCAACAGAATCTATTACTTTCAGTAAAAACTTTGTAGGTATTACATCAAGTGGGCTGGAGGACACTCTCATTTGTGATACTGTTAACTGGTTAAAACTCTCTTGTTGCTGGTGAGGAACCTCTGAGTAAGAGGCCGCGGGGGTAATAGAGGCTCTGATTGACACCACCTTATTTGTAAAATAAGATTTAAAACAATTCACAGTCATCATTACTTCCAGCTGATCCACAGTCTTAAACAGAAACCTGGGATTGTGTTTATGTGTAGTAATGAGTTCAGAAAAATAGTGTGTTCTCGCATCCTTAACCATGTTATTGTAGTTAATTAATAAATCCTTCAGACTGAGGTAATGGACTTGGAGACTGGATTTTTTCCATCTGCGCTCTGCTTTCCTGCATTCCCTTTTTAGGCTGCGAATGCTGTCATTTATCCAGGGTTGCTTACTAGCTTTAGACGTAGGCCTAACCTTTAGAGGAGCAGTAATATTTAGTGACGACAAGCAGATATGATTGAAGTGATTGACCAGATTGTTGGTGTTGGAATCAGACAGGTGTTGGCTTTGGCTCTGAAAGAATGCGCAAAACTTTGAAACACTTTGTTTATTAAAGATGCGAGAACACACGGAGCTTGGTGAGGCGGCATGAGTAACAGGCGAATCGCAGCTAAAAACAATACATCTGTGGTCAGATATGAATGTCAAGGAATGGTACTTCTATTAAGTGTATTAAAATATTAAAGACTCCAAACGTTCATAAAATATATACTTCTAATCATTTATCACCATTGATGAAGCCCACAAAGATTATTACAGCTTTTAAAAGTATTATTTGGAGGTGCATGCAATTCTCGGCAGGCAGGCAAAACTCGGCATATCACCTAATCAACCTTTTGATCAAATGTAAGATCACCTCTGATTATCAACTTTTTTTGCGTGTTCTTCAGACGCACTGTGGCGTAACTGTTAAAGTAAAGTATAACGTTACTTTATAGGCCTTTATCATAATGTTTGACACATGGCAGTCCAAAGTTAGAAGACTGTAACGTTACTCCACAAATTAAAAACTACACCAAATGTAGGTGCGGTTAACGACCACCGCATCTCTGCCCTGAGGAAAACTGTTTCAACATATTTACTAAGCCTTAAGCGTTAGCTGTGAGCAGTCACCTGGGGGAGGTGAGCTCCAGTGAGCCGGCTGAGGATGAGCTGGAAGCCCTGGGACTGGGTGAAGTGGCTTTCGGCAGCCAGGCGGACTGTTTGCCTGGGCGGGGGAAGCAACCGGCTTCTTTCAAACACTTCTCTCCAGCCGTCCTCCACGGTGGATTTTCCCTCTGTTTTGACCATGGTCTTGTGTTAATAGCACAATTAGAATGGCATCGCAAACAATTAAAACATGTAGGTTAGCGTACAACCGAGTTGTTGCTGGGATTATTATCTTTTCAAGCCGTTTACGTTTTCAAACCCGCGGCCGCCATATTGAAATCGGATTCTACTACTCAGTGAAGTGGGGTTAACCGAGTAAATCAATTATTTCATCACCCAGTCACGAGTAAAACGAATAAGGCAAATTGTAGGGACTTAACGTAATAAATGCTTATACTTATCCGATAGGGGTTGTTTCCGCCGAAACTGAACATCAAAACAAAATTTCGCAATGGTAGATTGTGAAAGCTCTACCCTTTCATTTGGTATTTCCCATCGCGGTGCATCAGTTACTATGGTAATGCTCACGTTACCGTGCAGAGCTACATTCTAAGGTCTTCCATAAACGTGACAAACGAAACAAGACAACAAAACTGTCAAGGCATATCGTACATCATGTGCTTACAGTAATACACATTCTAATAAAAATAAATACAATATTATTTAATAAATGAAGTTAGTATAATTCGTAGTGTTATACAACTATTCGCTGTAGCAGAAGTAGTGTCCCATTACAGAAAAAATGTGGCCCTATCATATAGCAAAGCATGATACAATCTACCGTAACTGGTTATAAGCATCATGTTTTAGACCTTATTTGTTCCTATTTCACACGACGGTCCGCTTTCTCTGTGTCTGGGGAAAGCGGGAAATAAAAAACAATTTCTACGTGAAAGGGCTGGCCAGGCTGCAACCGAGTTTATCCCTCGTAGAGACCTCCCAGAAGTGCATTATTGCTAGTCCCTGACACTTTATACTTCTACTTTATTATAAAATAAAATTATATATTCCCATTTACCAGCTCATCAAAATACTGCTTACCATACACATGGATGCATCATAATAACACAATGCTAATAATGAATTAAGATTAGAATATAATAGCCTAATACTGCACTATGCTCCATCGCACTGTGTTTATGTGCATATGTATGCATGTATGTGTATGTGCACCTGTATATCTTATCCACCTCTGACATGTACATAATAATAATAATAATAATGGTAATAATAATTCACTCCTGCGTCCTTTGCACTCTGCTCATTGTACTATTGTCTTAATATCTCTATATTGTTTTTGTTTATAGTGTGTATATATGTGTTCTCTATACTGTAGCCTGTGTCTGATTTTATTATTGTATAATATTGTATTATTGTGTTATTGTATAAGTAAGCACATCGTGAGCAATGTACAATCCTGACTCAAATTCCTCGTATGTGTACACATACCTGGCAACAAAGCTGATTCTGATTAATATAACCCTGACTGGGGCCAATCTTGCCTGCATGATAGGCTACTTTAAATTTTTAATAATACTAGTAATGGGGTGTTTTTTAATGGTATCGCTAATTTTACTTACGTCAAATGCCTTAATCATAGACCTGAATACTTGTTCCACCACTGTTCACGCTACGAGAAATCATTCATGAGCTTCCTATCAAACACGGGCAATATAATAAGAGAAACACTAGAGGGCAGCAACGCACCGCCGCTGCGTGTAGTCAGCGTCAACAGGAAGAAGACGGAAGCGGTAGGTACAAAACCGAAAACTACAATGTTTCGCGTCTTCGGGAAGAATAAACCTGTGAAAATTAGGAGTTATAATGATAACAGAAAGTACGGAGTTGCAGCAAAAGATGTGAAGGAGTTGCTTAAAAAAGGCTGCAAGTTATTACAGGTGAGCCCGTGTGCTTTCTTCTAGGCGCTTTATAGAAGAAGTTACGCCGGCTGTTCCGCTTCGATTAAATAAAGAGAGTCAACACTGTTGATTAAAAAACACACAAAGATACAGTTGTTAACGTTACATTTAATCGGAGCCACTGGTGACGTTAGAGGGTGCTGTGGATATACTATCAGCGTTGGTAACTTTATTGTAACTAACTATTTGGTTAATTGCTGTTCGAGGCAGGGGCGGTGTCTGGTCCAGTCCAGTGTCACCTAGGGCAATCTCGAAACTGTCAAGAGAATAAACCACAAGCGATATGCAAACATGTTCCTGACACCGTTATCTGCATATAAGATAAGTTAAAACTATTTATATTTAGCGTCACAGCTGCAGAGAGGAATGTAGCAGCAGGTTACAGATAATGACCAAAGTAACGTTATACACCAACAACAAATGCGTTCGTTAGAAAGCTACATAAAATGCATTACCCTAGAATGCATAGGATATTTAAAACCATGTTTTCCCTTTCAAATCAAATGTTGACCAAGTGTGTTTCAGAGATTTCTCAAGATTGTCTGCATCTGCGGATTCCAAACCTTTCCCCGTTTCTAGCCAGGCTTGTGGGACACATTGTTAAACTCAAGCAAAATTAAATGAACCCTTCTGAGAGAAAAATAAAAGACTTAAAATCTTAATTTGGGCCAAGATTTAGCTTGAATTTGATAATCTTGTATTATTGTTCGTATTATTATTTAATTGTATGTCATCTTCATTTCCAGTTGCCACTTTCTGGTGCACATATTTGTTTGTGTGCGGATGGGACAAAAGTGACAGAGGAATTCTTCCCGACTCTGCCGGACAACACTGAACTTGTTCTTCTCTGTAGAGATCAGACATGGAGTGGGGGTCAGTGAATCAACTTCAGACACCATTTGAAAAAAACAAGACAAATCTTTTAACTGTAAAGTGTGTGTGTTTCATGTTCTTATATCTTGGTGGGGACTTTATCCTGAAACGTGTCACTATGGGGACAAAAATTTGAGGTCCCCACGGACACTGCTTTTTGAGGGTTTAAATGTGTTTTTTTCAAACATAGGTCAAAGTTAGAGTTGGCATGAGGGGCTAGAGAATGCATTAGGTCAGTGTATGTGTGTTCCTGACCAGACGCAGTGTATTCTTAGTGCTCGGATGATAGGGTTGTCGTCTAACCTTATAACCCCTGTGCTTCTAATTTCAGTTGTGTGTGACATCGGGCAGTTACTGAGCACAGACCGGCACGCTGATAGCCTCATTGAAGCGGCGAAAGGGCTCTTGTCTGATGAGCAGTCTCCTAAGAGGCGAAAAATCCTGACTGACCTGCTGCTGAACCTGGAGGACAGATCTGAGCTGGAGAGCAGAAAGGAGGATGAAGACTGGTTCAAAGGTACAAAGTCCACTGGAGACTCTCTCACAGCTGAGCTGCTTCGTTAATGGGCAGCATGTTGCTGGCACATATGTTATAAAAAGAACATTTTCTTGTTTTAAAGAGATCCTTTTCAAGTTGAAGATACTTTTGATGTAAGATTGACATATTTCTCTCATCATTTACACATGCCAAATGACCTCCATGGCTTTAGACTTGAGGTCTTCAGACATTTGGTGCTGTAGTCTGAGAACTGTGAAGCTTTGAGTGTCTGACAACAGGTTCTTGTAATTTGCACATGCCAGGCTGAATACAAGCTAATGTTGTTTATGGAAATATAACAATATTATGGAAATGAGGAATATCAGAAGTCTAACTAAAGGCGTCAGTGTACTTCACTAGAACTGATGGTTGAATGACTAATAGCTTCTTAAACCCCTCCCCCAACACTATTCTGACATCGGAAAAATGGTCATGTGTAGTTCACAAAACTATCTGTGTGTTGTGGTTCTGAATGGTTTCATACCGTAGATCTGGTCAAAACTAATTTTCTATTTAGAAAAGTACAAAAGCAGGCAGTGCAATAATTTAGCAATGGGAAAATCTGACTGACATACAAATGTTCTACGAAAACACTTGATGTGAAATCTGTCTGTAGTTAAGTTGAGGTTTCATTTCAGGTGTTGATGCTCGATTCAAGACAAAGTCTGCCTACATGAAGTTCAACTGTGAAAGCAGGATACGTGGCTACATGAAGGAGGTAAAACTATCCTATCAAGTAAATCCTCAGGCGTCTGGCATGATAACTAACAGTTTGGTTTTCGGTCTCTGTTCTCAGGTGGATGATGCCACCAAAGCCATACAGAAGACTAAAGTCAGGGCAGAGTATCTGAAAACATCAAAGTGCCTGGGGGAAATGCTGAAGACGGCAAGGTACAACGGCTGTTACTTTGACAGGACTGAAAAGGAGCCGGATCGCCTCTGTACTCAGGAAGGATGGTTTACCTGCCAGGTATTGCAGGAGATGAATGAACAAGAAAATCTAATACAGATTACATGACTTTTGCCCTGATTTGAATATCTAAGATTTCAGGGTCCAGCTGGCATTCTGGCAACTGCTCTAGTCACAAATCTCTCTAACTGCAACAGTTTTGTAACCAGTACACCTTGAGGTCAGCTGTGTTGTTTGTGCACCCCTATTCCAACATGAAAAAAAGTGGTGGGGTGGGGTGGGGGGGCTCAATCTTGTAGTGTGAGAAGTACAGCAATTCACAGCAGATTTTGAAAGGTGTGTAGCACCAAGCTTAACTCCCCATTTGCTCCATATCTATAAATTCTTCTGACGCGTTTTAAATGAACTTGGCCTCCTCTAGACCTCTTCGTCTCCGTTGCCTCCTCAGGGATCATTTGACCAGGAAGTGTGCCAGTCTCTCCACTCCATCAATCCCTACGGCAGCCGGGAGAGCAGGATCATCTTCAGTACATGGAATCTGGACCACAGGTGCACTTCAGCTTCAAAAGCATTTCCGTTCACAGAGCAAATGGCAACCCCTATTGTCCCGTTTCACAGCAGACATTTTGACTTATCATAGTAGGACAAGCACAGGTGTTACTAATGATACTATTAATGACGGCTTTGTTCCATTCAAGTGTCCCACTATTCTATGACAGTGAGCCAGCATGCACAATACAGGGCCTCTGAAGCATCATCATTCATTTTATCTATACCTATGCTTTTCCTACAGCAAGTAGTACCTCGTTGCACAGCTTTCACTTATACAGCGTATAGTTTACATTCCTATAGTTGTACATCATTCAAATTGCGCTGTTTCCTAGTTTTCCTTTGTTCTAGATGTTATTTAGCAAACTCAAGGCTGTTTTTATGCATTTCATTTGACACATAAGAATGAGTATTCGAATTATCCACACTGACAGTCAGAGCAGAGACCAGTCATCAAAGCTTTGGTAGGCCGTGATCAGACATAAACCAAATTTGAGGGCCGTGGGGCTGCAGCTTTAATCACTATGCCTGTCTGTAGAGCTGCCAGTACGTGTTGGAACAAGACACTCGCTGGCTTCCAGACACTTGCAAATTTCAACATTTCTTCTTCTTCTTCATGTCCAGGATTGAAAAGAAGAGGACGGTCATTCCCGCTCTGGTGGAAGCTCTACAGAAGCACAAGAGCACCGACGTCGACGTGAACTACTTCTACCGCCTGCTGTTCACCAGGGAAAACCTGAAGCTGGTTCACATCGTGTGCCACAAGAAAGGAGCTCACAACCTGCTGTGTGACACCAAGAAGATTTTTAGACAAGCCAGTGACACAGACAAGGGAAAACTGACAGCCAAAGGGAAGAAGAGGCGCTTGGTGTGAATATTTTTAACTTACTTTTATGGAAACATTTTTTGTATTAATTTGTATGAACTGTGACACCTTATGTGCTGCACTGAAATTATGTGAATATGTATCTCAGGTCCACTGTAGCATCAGATCGATGACAAAGTGACCTTTTACCTCACTTGATTTTTGACCATTATTTAATTCTGCTTCCTGAATCTGCAGGACTTTAATACAGACACAAGTGATTAAAAACACTTTCAGAAATCATGAAAACCATTTATTTGTCCTTTTCTTTTGGCACAGTGATGTAAAAAGCACGAGTTGATTACAATGACAGCTGAATGGAGGAGGCACTCACTCAGTGAAAAAGTTGCATAGGAGAATATGAAAAGCATTTTGCATAAATAAGGGAGTAAAAATATATAAAAACATTTGATTGGATGGTCAGAACAATCAGCTATATACAAAATACTACAACAGATGTGAATAGCACTAGTGCAATTACAGTAACCCTCAAATTACTAAATTACACTTTCAAAGTCAGGTTAAAGTTTGCTTTACACACTGAACACCTTTATCAGAAACCTCAATGTTTTTAGTCAATGTTTTTCTTTTAATACATTCCTCATATAAAATTGTCATGTTTGCAAATGAACCTATCAGGAAACCATTAGCTGTCAAGTTAAAACGATGAGCAGCTGCCAAAAAGCACTAAGATGTGTCGAGGAGGAATATTTGACACTTGTGAACAATCTTTCTTATAAAAGAAAACTGCTGACAACATTCATCTTTGAAGTCTTGATATTAAATGCTCCAACTATGGAACTGCTCTTTGGTGTGTATGTGTGTGTACCCTTCTTCCTCATATTTATACAATCTGAATGCAGGACATGAAATCAACGTGTGACTTATGGATTTTACATTTTATAACTGTAAATATTTGTAGATTTGAGAGAGTTTGTTAGTTTGGCATCTCTTAAGGCTAATCTCAAACTGCAAACTTAATTATGAAGCAATGTGGACTGATTTGTCTAAATGTGCAGTGCCAGCAACACACCCTCCGCGTAACACCAAAGAAACTGAACCAGGGGTGGTGTGAGCATAAATCCAGCAATAAATAAAACAAGAACTACTGTATATGTTCCTCACATGTGCCTATTTTACTATAGCTATATTAAACATTACCAAATTAAATCCAAGTATTTGGGTAACAGGCAAAACTTAATACAATTTGACATTTGTGTGTGTTTGGACGGTCCTTATCAAGTCAAATGTCCAAGTTTACAATCAATAAATTTTTAAACAGTTAAAGTCATAAATACCTGTGGGAAACATCAACAGATGGTATTGAGAGTGAGTTTATAATAAATACACCCACATAATGTTGGCTACCTTGCTCACACATAGTGTGTTTGTAACAGTGTTGTGATTTTAGGGCAGTTTGCTGCATCTGAATAGGTAGTTTCATTTGGCTGCTTTTTCTAAGTGCTGAGGCGCTTTATGTTCTTCCACAGGCACGACTTCCGAGTCAACCACAGTCATCGGTGCGGCACACTTTAATAAGTGCTCCTTCTGTCGTCTGGCTGCGTACTGCTGAGGCCCGCCTCCTCTTCATCACTGTCCTCTCGTGCGTAGTAATGGCGTCTCCTGTTCTCCCTCTCAACGCGGGCAGACGTCGCTGACGATCTCTGAGGAAAGTCCTGTGGAAATAAAAAGTAGTTTTTTTAATTTGTTCACCGTGGACATAATCTTCACCTAAACAACAATCGAATCAAACTGTTCCGCTGCCACATTCAGTAGCAGTACAGGATATAATTGTAAATACAGTGCATGTGTGCAATGTTTTGGGCATCAGTGAGATCGGGGTCACGCTCATTCTTTCATGTCTTCCTTGTATCTCATAACTTCTTAAAAACAGAAAGCAATCCTGTTGACTGTTGTTTCAGTGCAGTTCTTTAAATTGCACGTATAAATAGGTAAAATTCATATCAGTTCAAGGATATTACCTGTGAGAGAAGGAAATGAAATTCAACAACCAAACATTTGAGTTGATGGATGGAAAACTGCCACACAGTACAGCAGGAGTTCCCACACCAGGGTCGGAGCTAAATTCTGAATGTCAGCGAGCTGTAGAATCATGTGTGGTAACACCATTAACCTGAGTAACAGTTTGTCCCTATCATGGAGATAAAACAGAATGCCTCACCTGTACGGCATCCAAGTTTCCAAAGAACTGCTCCACAGGAAGAATCTGATTACTGTCATCATCTGGAAAGATGTTTTTGCTGGTTTCTTCACAATCCATGTCCTCAGACTCATGTTTGTCAAAGCTACCGTTCGCTTTGCAGCAGTCCATATCCAAATCCAGCCCTGTCCTGAACTCGTTTTCTTTGCCCTCCTGTCCTTCGAGCTCTGGGGATGCTGTGCATCTCCTCCTTCCTGCAGACTGGTGGCATTCACAGCTGATGCGAGAGTCTCTCTCCAGAGGGCCGTCTGCTTTACTGTTACCACCGACTACTGAGCTGCTCTCTGCTGCAGAGGGTGTCTTTGGACCTTTCATACATCTCCTCCTTGGAGCAGAAGCCTGTGTCAGAACGTTAAATAACGGGGTTAGAATGATGGTTTATCCTCTGGTCTTAGACCACTGTACTAACTCTCATAAAGATGCAAGACACACTGAATAGCGAGCCTAAAGTGTGTGTGTCTAGTGCAGTTCTCAGATGCAGACATGACAGTCTAGCCAGTTACAATTATCCAGAGATTCACTCCGTTAGAAACAGCAGAACATATTTGCTGTCTTAACTTGCTCTTTCTACAGGCTGTTCTCTGTACAAAAAAAACACAAACCTTTCTGGAGCTTTTGACCTCAGAGCTGCTCTTCCTCTTTCTGGGCTTCAAGCTGTCGAGTTCACCAGGCATCTGCAAAGCAGTATGTGGTTTGTTGTTAGCTAAATGTTTTCACTGAGCTTCCCCTGCTTTAATAATACCACTTACTTCACGAACTTTACGAGCATCAAGATGTTCGAAGTATTTCACTGCATAAGGTGAATATCAGCAAAGAGATAAAGCTGGTTTATCTACACCTGGTATGTCTAAGTGTGCTTTTGAGGTGGCTGCCTCAAATAATCATCGTCATCTCCCTTGGCTTTGGCTTATTAATGGTGTTAATTATGCATGGGTTTAGTAAGATGATGCTCCAAGGAAATATAGGAGAGCAACTCCCGCGGGACAGGACTTCTGACTGTACCAAAGGTTAGGAAGATAACGGCTGGCGAGCGAGCCTTTTTGTTTCGCACTTCAACATTACGAAACAGTTTTCCAGCAGATATTAGACCGACTTATTCACTGCTGCGCACAATTCAGTTTGTCTCTGATGTCTTTGTATAAGTGCTATTTACTTTTAGTGTTTAAATTAAAAATATTTTGTATTTTAAATGTATTCTTCTTGTAAAGCACTTTGATTGAAAGTGCTCTATAAATAAAATGTATTATATTATAATAATTATTAAAATGAATACGTTTTTTAATCAAAAAGATGGCAGAAAAGCAGCCATCTGAGTGATGTGCTGAACAGATGGACAGTTTTGGCTCAGACCAAATTTCTGATGCAGTTGGATTTTATTTAGTCCAACATCTGTTGGGTCTTTTCAGCAGGCAACATTAGACTTGCAGCATGCTTATGCTTTTCTCCAAACTACACATTTTGAGTGTCAAATGATGGAGTGAGTGGTTTAAGAATGATGTTTTTAGGACACGACATTTTGGATTCAGATTACTACATCTTCGCACCACGGCTGTGTACAGTCCTCAAAACGGCTCCTGTATCCTCCGCAGGCCAAACTCCTCCCAAAATACTGGCAATTTAAGGTCACGTTTCTGACTCAAGACCTCCAGTTAATTCTGAACTTCACCCCGCTGAAGTTGCACTCGCACCTTTTATGCGTGTTCAAGACGTGCCGAAGTGAATAACATAACATACGACATTAAGACAACAGAATTTGTCTAATAATATACCGGAGCTTTTGACAATTAACGTTAAATCCCATGCGCATCGTCCGTAAATAAGCCATCATGGCATCATAAACAAATGAAAGTCACATGGCACAAGACAGCGCTGTCTGTGGTTACAATGTCACAACAGTGCGAGGTTATATGCGGACACGCTAATACCTCACAAGAGCTAACGTTAGCGAAACATAGACCCTTAATCGATCTCGACATGTTAGCTATAACGGAGAGCTAATAAGGCTAGCATGACAGCTATGAACTACCGGTGTGGAATTTCTTAACGTTACTCGCCTGAAAACAGCCATAAAAACTTACCTTGTGCATCATTTACCGACGTTAATGCTTCTGTTTTTAGAGGCCTCGATATCAACGTTTCGTGACGGTCTTGTATGCAATTCGCTTTCAAATCATCCGAACTCGGCTAGCTACAGACAGCTGAATGTTATCGGACACAGCCAGCGTAATTTGACGATATGTGGCGTTGTTGAAGCGTATTTCCTGCCGCTGAGGTTCACCCGGAGGTCAGAGCGGCTGCGTTCAGCAGGACGTCCTCTGCACCGGGATGTTACCTCTTCATATTAATGACAGGCTGCTGTTCTGTCACAGAACTGATGGGACTTTTCTATGGTTTAATTCAACCCCAGTTCGCAAAAATGCCCAATGCGTTTGTAATAATTAACTTTGTCTTTAAATATTCAGTCTCCTGCCTTTTGTGGCTAAATTATAAAAAAAAATACAATTTATAGCTTTTCTTGGTTCCGTCTAAAAAGACAATATCCGACTCTGTAAGTAGTGTAGTATGTCGCTGTCAGACTTTGTAGGCCTATTTTAGCTATTATTTCTATCTGAATATGTTTACTGTAGCGTGTCTATTCATTATTTTGACGTTTATAACACTTTGTAACACCCCGGTATTCAGCCTATTCAAATCCCCAGGAATTTATTTTGAAGTCAAACACGAGCCTTTTTTTCCGCTTTAACAGTCTATGTGGTTGAAGCTTGACGCAGTTGTTCAGCTGGACGTTTTCTCTTGTCCACATGTGACGACAGGTCCTAAATACAGCGCGTGCGTGTAAATGTATGAAAAGGGTGCCGTGTTAGATAAGTTGTGGTTGTCAGAGTTGGGCTTTTGGTTTCTCTGGGTGTTGTGAGTGAAAAACCGGCTTGGAGGAGGAGGCGGAAACTAAATGTAGCCTAATTCCACAGGATGTCCACACGAGGGTGCTAGAGGCGCTCTGAACCCTCTCTGTGGGAGCGACTACAAGCACGTTTGATGATGACCTTATGATCTATAGATTCTACTGCCGAGGAACCATAGAAATGTTCTTCATTAAAATAATCTTATTATTTGAGAATTGGTTTTAAAAAACGCGCTGCCTGACCTTTTCCTTAAACCAAACGAATTGCTGTATAACTGTTCAGAATATCTTAAAGCTTTTCCAAACTGCTGTTAGGCTACAACAAGGAGCACTTTTCCAACAGCTTGTTTCTAATGTAACCCTGAGATGGAATAGTGAAACATAGGCTATATCCTACCTTGAAGAAAAGTTTGGAGCTTCCCCTGTAATAGGTTGCGTGTTAACAAATAAGATGAGCTAGGCAATGTCAAATTCAGCTAAATCATTTCCTTTTCAATTAAAAAAATATTTTGATATGATTTATTTTATGATTTATGGTTTTTCTTGGCCTGTCCAAATTCTACATACATAAATATAGGCTATATTTAGTATCTTTCTCTTACTTGTAGGCCTATGTAAAAATGTACTTTTGGCATAAAGTTTTCCTCAAACACTTTTGAAACTTTTTCTGTAGGTGTGTGTTAATAGTCTGTTATTCTTTGTACTGTGTTTGTTTAATTGTGCTTACCTAGAACATGTTACTGTACTGTTTGTACTAGCTGAAGAGAGTTACGAACTCAGTTTCACCCTATAACCGGTTTTACTGTGACAAAATACATCTACCTACTCACTGTAGCCTGTGTCACAAAAGGTTAATACAATTTCAATATTTTCTAAATAATTCCTGATTTTACTTCTGATTATTATGTCTTACTAGGACGCCTAACAGGCCTATTGTTAATATTGTTAATTAAGGAATCTAAAGAAAATTGACAAAATTGTAGCTTTAAGATGGTGGACACCTGGTATGTGAGAAATGGGAAACCTGCTGGTCCCGGATCAGTGTCATATAGGGGGAGGAGATATTTGGAAGGGGGGCTTTGGGGGAGAGAGAGAGAGAGAGAGAGAGAGAGAGAGAGAGAGAGAGAGAGAGAGAGAGAGAGAACCCTCCTGCAGCAGGTCTCCATTACAGTCTGTGTGCAGACAGAGGGCAGAGAAGAAGCCCGGGGACATGCTGCGTATTTGGCATCATTTTCCTGCACCGAGAGGCGATGTGTGACTTCACTGAGCGCCGTCATGGGCAAAAGGGCCCCCGGGGCCACTTCAGTGTCAGCGCTCTCACACAGCCGAAGACGCACCTCTGGTGTCCAAATGAGCAGGGGCAGGTGTCGGGGACTCCACTCGGGCGCACAGTTGTGAAACACTATGAAGGCAAATGGTCCAGCATCTGAGGGTCTCTGGGCGCCGCAGTGAGAGCCATGGATCACTTTTTCCGCAGAAAGCGGATCGGTCTGCTGAAGCCCCTGCTGAGTCTATCTCTGGTATTCGCCTCCTTTCTTATGATCCACAAGCTGAAACTTGCAGAGAAGGAGGGAGTGGGAGTTAAACATACGAGGGATGCCGGATGGTGCGGCTCCGAGTGTTTTTCATTCAAGAAGGGACTGAAAAATAGTTTAGGGAGCTCAGACTCTCCGGTACTTAGCAACAACTTGGATGCGCAGCGGGTCTCTAACGGGACCTCTGCTTCCTGGGACGCACAAGTTCTCAACTGCAGTGAGGACGCGTCGGTGAGGACCCAGGACTGGTTCCGCCGCTTGGACCCGCGATTTCACCAGTTTGTTCTGCACAGACACTGCAGGTACTTCCCCATGCGCATCAACCACCCGGAGAAATGCGTGGATGGGAAGGTGCACCTCCTCATGGTGGTCAAATCCGTTATCGAGCAGCATGACCGGCGGGAGGCGGTGCGCAAAACCTGGGGCAAGGAGCACACTGTGGATGGGAAGAAGATCAAAACTTTATTTCTTCTGGGAAGCCCGACGACTGGAAAAGACACCAAGAACCTCCAGAAATTGATCGAGTACGAGAACCTGATCTATGGGGACATCCTCCAGTGGGACTTCATGGACACCTTCTTCAACCTGACCCTGAAAGAGGTCAACTTTCTCAAATGGTTCGACATCTACTGCTCAGGCGTACAGTTCATATTCAAGGGAGACGATGACGTGTTTGTGAATACGCACAATCTGCTGGAGCTCATCGGCTTCAAAGTGGAGGAGCGCAAAGAGGCCGATTTGTTTGTGGGGGACACCATCTCCAAGGCGATCCCCATCCGAAACCGGCAGAGCAAGTACTACATTCCCAAAGAGCTGTACGATAAGCCATATCCACCTTATGTCGGAGGTGGGGGGTTTCTCATGTCCTCCCAGCTGGCCAGGAGGCTCTTCGTGGTCTCAGAGGACCTAGAGTTGTACCCGATTGACGATGTGTTTTTGGGGATGTGCCTACAGAAGCTTCACTTGGCCCCAGAGATGCACCCGGGCTTCAGGACCTTCGGCATCACCAGACGCAGGGTGAGCTCCATGAACAGCGAGCCATGCTTTTATAAAAACCTCATCGTGGTGCACAAACTGAGCTCGGAGGAGCTGCTCAGGATGTGGAGCGTGGTGCACAACGAGGAACTGGTTTGCGCTCAAAGGACCTCCATATGATTGTTAATTGTCAATTAATATAAACGAAAGTAAATCAATTCATTAAAGCTGAACTGCTGGTTGGAATAGACAGAAGACCTGAGTTTTTAACTGGTCATGCATGATGATCTTCACTGACTCCCGTAGTAGGGGCATTTTCACTCAGTAATGACGCAACCATTTACAGAGTCATCAATATCAACAGCAACATTTATTTCCCAGTGATGGTTTTGTTACTACACAGAACATCCAGATGTTGCATTTCCATTTTCTGTGTGTAAAATTAAAAAAGGAGGCAAGCTATTCTGAACAGGTTGGGTTTCCTCTTCACTAGTCCTGCTACCTAAACCACTATGACTCCACAGTGTGCAAGCATCAGAGGAAGGTTTCTAGGTTTCTGATTACTGATGCAATTTCAAATTGGTGATCCATCACTAAATCTGAGAACCAGCTTTGATGCAGAGACATGGTTGTAATAGCTTCGGCGCGTTTGTGCAGGCATGAATAAGACTTGACTTGTTACATCCAGGTGTTCCTCTGAAACAGCTGATTTTATTATTATTGTGTCAATTTCTGATTTCAGGATTTCAGTGCGACTGTGAAAGTGAACTGTATGGAACACAGCACGGAGCACAGAAAGTGATTTTTTAAGGGTACTGACATTGTAAAAATCAAATGAATTGGTTTTCTTAAGTTAATATATTGTTTTATTTCAGCTTTTATTTTATTTTTAAGAGTTACTTCATTTGTGTATGATTTTGCAGAAGCAAAAACCAAAGAAACTAAAGGGATATTGTAGATTTATGTCTGATAGTGTAAATAAAACTGGAAAACCCTTGTCAACTTTGCATATATAGAATGAATGTAGCAGCATTTGATTCATATTGATGTTTGAACAGCTGGGGAACAGCACGGGAAAGATTGGGAATAAGGTGACTGTCTCAAGTTCTACAACTTTGTCAGTTTCATCTGATTGCTAAATAAAGGGTGTTAGAGTTGCTTATCACAGATACCTTCAACTCTTAGGTTTAAATAGTATCGAAAACCTTTTGTCATGTGAAACCACTTCTGCAATGTTCAACTTAATGCAGCTTTATTTAAACAAATACAGGTTCGTTTGCAGAAAAAAAAATGATGCCAAAGTAAATACAGACTTCTATGCACATAAAAACACAATAAAATATCCACTGTTGCAATAGTCCTCAATACAGAAGCACATTTAAGCCAACATGGTGGATTGGTAATTTAGAAACCAAATATACTCTCTCATACACCAACTCTAATCAAGTTGTTTAGTTGTTTCTCCACTAATACAACAGTTACTGTTCTCACACAGATTAATTAAGAATTTACCCTCCTATCATTACAATTTGTAAACACCTCATACTGTTTTAAGGTTGTTTCTGTTAGTTCTTGGCTGTAGACGAATCACAGATATATTACAATCAATATCGTCATAACACTGTACTATAGAAGTAGTAAAATTATAGCTATTATTATGAGTTCTTAACTCTGACTTTGTGGCTAAAATCATTTTAAAGCCATTGAAGTGCCTTAAACTGTTTGTTGATTCAGCAGAAATCAAGTAGACTTGAAAAAAAAAACATAAAACAGGTGCTATACAAATTCTACTGTATAGCGTACATTCATCTGCATTTTGTGTTTATATCATTTGAATAACTCTGTTAAGTTAAAAGGTCGACTTGTGAGCATATAAAACTGTGCCATCTACTCAAGATTGTCAGTAGGCATTAAGGAAAACAAATTAAAGTCCAAACTGTGCTGAAAATTCAGCGGTGAAGAATCATCTCTTTGGCAAAGTGCTACTTCATTTCTTTTATATAATTTATTTAAGATAAGAAATAAAAATAAATATGTAAACAGATGGCAAAGCGTGAAGCTGACAGCAAAGCTACACTCAGGTTGTCCGTGGCTGTAGGACTGAAACATCGTGTGCTGCAGGGTTGCCAAGGGAGGAAAAGTCTTCTACTTGTAACCAAACCTCCTTCTTACTCTCCTCTCAGTACTGTTTCTAAGTGTGCTTCCCTGGTGTATGTCCTTTGGCCAGGGGTGCCAGGGCTGGGATCCGGCTGCCTCTTCCCATGGGTCTGGCTCTGGCCCCGACCGACAAGGCCTGCTTTAGCTTGGCTCCACCGACAGCCCTGCCTGGACACACACACACACACACACACACACACACACAAAATGACATCCTTACAGAAAACGTTTGTAAGCCCTTTAACACAAAGACACCCCTCTGTTCTTGTATACTATTTACCACTAAACAAAGCAGCCTGCATTACCTGCCAAGTGAGTATAAACAGAAAGGTTTCGTGACGTCAGCAGCTCATGATGATGTGGGTGCATACTGGGAGAGATCACCTCATTTCATTACGTATTGTCACTGAGTCTATGCTGCGGGTCTCTTCACAAGGCTTAATTTCAATAGATGCTAATGCTATCCAGTTCTGTCAGCCTACAAGTGGAATAACAAAATGTCAAAAAAGGCCACAGATCCTTCCCTTTATCAAACGTAAAATGGGATTAATATTATATGGCTTAACACCTTTGATAATCTATTTCCTGGGGAAAACCCTGTAAAGTACACAGATTTACAGGTTAGCTTTTGCTCCTTAAGTGTTAAATTCTGACTATGCACACAGGCAAAGTAGTGACTTATTAGAAAGGTTTTTAGAATCTATATATCAGCTGGGTCATTATGACACCTTGTGGCACCCTTGGTGTAAAAGGTCAGCGGATCTACCCTCCTGCGCGTCTGACCTCCTCTGGGACCTACCTGTTGTTATCAAAGTTGCTTTAAGTTATGATCCTTAAGATTTCAGTCCTGGTTGATTTGGCAACACACGTGTTACTGGTGATAACTGCTGGTGTGTTTTATAACACAGCTTCCAGACTTTTAGACCACTGCGGCCAAAAAAACCCCACTCCTTGAGCTGCTACACTTTCAGAAATGCAACAGACGAAGAGCGAGTGGTTAACAATGTGTTTACAGCGCAGGCGAACAAAACATGGGCTGAGAGGAATCACAGAACCGTGTTGTTTTAATAAAGGGACAGTCAGCAATGTTGGCAACAGAAAAAACTCAACTCATCGGCTTTTGTCTTTTGCATCATGTCCAGTATGTGCGTGCATCGTTTCCTGTGATCTATCGGTACACATGCATGGGTACACAATTTAAATAAAAATGGGGTGTGATATAATGAGCCTGATGGATTATAACTTTAATATATTCAGCAGCGGTCCTCTAGCCCAACAGTCACATCAAGATGGTGATCAGTTAGTTATTAGTAAGTAATGTGACATGTCACTCAACAAAACAATGGACATCCACACTCATAGAACTGTACAAAAAGTAGTGTTTTGTGATATGATGTAGCTGTAACTGGGTGTTTCAATCATTAACAATCTACCTGCAACCGTTAATATGATTGTGAAATATCACTCAAAATGTATAAGCTGCAAATTAAATCCGCCACTATTTTCATGTGCCTCATGCTGTGAGTCAGGAAACCATAGTGGAAAAGCTGCAACATGAAATTTTACCAACAAGCATGGGCACTTTGTGTAGCTCCAACACTGAGCGTTGGGGAGGTAAGGTGTAAGCAGAGGGTGTATGAATGCTTTACCTTGTGCTGGCTGGGTTCTCTGGGACACCACAGTCCTGCGTGAGTTTTGTTTACAGCCCTCCCTTCCCATGAGGTGAGCCTTCCAGGCCTGGAACAGGGACAAAAGTAGCTCAGTGAGTCCGTTTATCTCAAAGGTACTTTCTCAATCGGGACAACCATGGGTGACTGAAGGCCCAGTCAGGGCCCGAATGGCTGCCCTCCCTCCCACTAACACTGTAGTCTTTCATTGGGTCTACGCTCAGAGCTCTGGCAGTGAGAGTGAAACTTTGTGAGGTTTTTTCTTTATTAATTTTTAAGGGTGTGTGGGGTGAGAGACTGCATGTTGTGAATCAGATTTTGAATCACAGCAGAAATTGAGTTACAACTCAGGTTCTTTAGCGTTAGTTAGTTTATCTCTGCCTGTTTTGTTTATTTGATTTTGGTCAGTCTGTTCTGTGATTCTTGTTTCTGCATGTTTACCTGTCTTGTTTGGTTGTGGTGTGTATATTGGTTGGTGTCCATGTACCTGTTAAGTGTTTTACATTATGTTCTAGGTGTGGAGCATGAAGGGACTGCAAACTTTCACTTTCACTTTGTTGTCCAACCATGTGTTGTATACCGATAATGATTCTTGATCACTAATAGGTTGTTCAAAGCTTTACTTAATAGTTTGAAAATAGTTTCATGTAGTTCTTCTGGCTTTTATATTTATTCCAAACCAACTGCTGCCACGACTTGCATTAACATAAAAAATACATTACTCCTTGAAATTGTTTACAGCCAAAGTCAAATCATTATAGTTGGTTTGGGAAAAGTGGGCAAAAGAGAGTGGCTAAACAAAATTTTGTTTTGTTTTGTTACAGACAAGAACTCAGAGTGGACAATCCCCAACCTCACATAATGATGTCTCTTAAACAAATAATTCTATAACCAATCACAAGCCTTTCCTGGACCCTCACCAGTTTGCTTTCAGATCCACAGAGGATGCCATCTCCACTGCCCTCCACTCAGCCTGAGAAAAACAGTACCTACTGTACATCAGAATGCTGTCTGTGGATTTCAGCTCAGTGTTCAACACAATCTCCCCATGAAGCTGATCAGCAAACTCAGCACTCTGGGTTTAAATACAACACTCTGCACCTGGATACTGGACTTCCTCACACCCCAGTCAGTTCGGATTGGAGGACTCACCTCCTCCACTCTAGTGCTCAACACCGGAGCCCCCCAGGTCTGTGTGCTCAGCCCCCTCCTGTTCACGCTGTAAACCCACGACTGCATCTCCGACATGGAGAGAACTCTGTTGTGAAGTTCGCAGATGACACCACCATCAAACTTCTAATGTGTAAATTAATCATTCCAAGGCCATTTCTGTTCTTAAAGGTAAGGGTTAAATAGAATAAGTTATAAACTACCTCTATCAACCTATCAAGCAGCAATCCAAATGGAGGTACTCTTGTCTTGTACAGTGTTGTAATTGACTGTCCGGCTTCCCAGAGTCGGAAGTGGGTGTTTGTGCACCTTCCGCATACCATTGTGCCTTCTTGAAAGACGAGTTGCATGATTCATTAGACTCCACAATGACAGAAACGTAACAGAAGACAAATGGAAGGAGACACTGTTCCTACATCTTTTAGTGGGGCGGAGAATCTTTTACACTGCATGTCTTTTGAAAAGTTCTCTATCACACAAAAAGTTGACAGTTTACTACCCTGTGATTATTTATATAATATCCATAGTTGAGATTATATTTAATGTATGCTAATATTTTTGTATAACCTACTTTCATGACATATCCTCATTGATAACTTCTAACTGTTCTAGCTAATATTTACTAGTACCAGTAAAACTGTAAATCTTTCTAGTTACAGATGAACCATTGCCCACACAATGGTGCTCACAGCACCAAGCCACCTCAACAAGAACTCCACTACTGCTGGAATTAAAGATAACCTGAATTATTAACTTCAGTCCCATGTTTATAAATAACAGCATTATCCTAAACCACCCTGACTACAAAAAAAGATTTAGGGAATGTAAATGCAAATATATATATCAAAGTTTTATCTATAAACAGCTCATTTCTGTCTTCACTACATCTTAAACTAGCGTAATAGGAATGTGAAGAATGTGATGGTACTGTATCTTATGAAAATTGAAACAGCCTATTAAGGACAAAGGCTCCCCCTGCTTTGAAGTCTTTAAACAACAACAGCGGTGTTTTACTTGAACACCTGTTTGCTCCTCAAGCCTAATTTTAGATGCTTTTAGAGTTTCTGTGTTTAATTAAAAGAGGGAACATAGAAAAGCTCAAGTTCTTTGAAAACCTCAAATGAAGCTAGATTTACCACATTTAGCTTATTTTTTTTCTTCTTCTCATAAGTTTCAATTTGTGATTGTTTAGGAAGCAGCTCTGTCCAAGTGACCTAGGTTTTTCTGTTTTTTATTTTGCAAAGAAACAACTGGCAATATAGCATATCACAAAAGCTGTGCAATGCTGTACATCAGCTCATGATTTGCTTTCTAGCCATTGCTTTACAAGGACACATAGTCACAGAGATGGGAGTGACAACTTTACTGTTGGCTCTCTCTCTCTCTTGTAATTTGCATGCACGGACTCTCACCTCCTCTCCAGGCATGAAGTTGTTGTGACACAAAGGACAGTGGTTGGAGTCTTTACCCGAGACGGGGGCTGAAACGGAAACGCAACACCTTTAAGCCACCTGTTATACAATTACAGAAAAAGCCCCCCAAAAACTCCAGAGAAAATTAGCAAATTACACCACTGAAGGAGAACAGTTTGAAATACAATACACTTTTGAGGCATGTGAACATCGGGATAAACACAGTCTATCCTAACTCATAATTACTTTAAGTTAACTCATAATCAGCAAGGGTAGGCATGTGACTGGTGGTAGACACGTAGTGTAAGCCGTGATACAGTAAGCCTCTTTCTTCAAGTTAGGAGGTACAGTAACAGTGAACTGGTAAAGGCCTGGTCACACAAGCATTTATAACTGCCATATTTCAGCTGTCAATGTCTGATACGTTTCTTTTTTAAATGGTGTTAACCTTTGTCAGCTTAGCAACTGAGCCAACTTCCTGTTAGCAAGTCAGCTAATTTTTTACCTGTTAGCTCGCTAACTAACCCCACGAATCATCACTTCACTAAACTTCTATACTTCTGTGTGTACTGGCCTTACTTAATCCCCCAATTTTAGGACAACACAGCTGGACAAGGATCTTAACTCTTAACAGTCTAACATACAGACAAAGTAACTAATAAATCGTTTTTTAAGCCCAACAGCAGAATCTCCTTGAATGGCCTGGCCTCAGTCAAACTGAGCATGTGTTTCTCTTATTGTAGATTATATTGTAGGCAGATGTACAGCTGGCTGCAGTACAGGCTTTACAGAGCATCACTGGAGCAGATACCAAGTTTCAGCTTCACCCTGTCATGTCTGGCCAAATATCTACAAACAAATATTCAATATGATGGCTTTTTGTTAGATGATGTTGACTTGTCCAAATGAATTACATCCCTTAAAATTGGGGAACTACGTATAAGGATGACAAGGGTGTAAACACTATAATATTACAGCTATGTCGCACTTACAGTCTTTGTTTCATTTCATAATCCAACAAACTGGAGCAACAAAAATGTGTAATGTTTACAATTCCGGCATGGTAACTTTGTTGCATGTCAAAGAAAATACACCTGTATAAACTAAACCAAACAAATCAAAATGACAAACAAAAAATCAGATGGTTTTCATCACATATAAAGCATTTTCAGAAAATGTCCAATGGTATGAAAGAGTGGGACTAAGAACTCACGGTTGCAGGCAGGACCTTGGACATGGCGAGCCAGATCTTCCGTGGCCATGGCCTCTGAGCAGCGTGGGCACTGGCTAAACTTGGACCTGTTTTCGCATTCACCCAGTAGGTGCTCTGTGAGGCTGGCTATCTCGACTACCTGTGAACAGAATGCTGTGAACAGAGCTGTGCACAAAGTCTGAGGTGGTGCTAGGCTGAGGTCCTTCTCTCAAGAGAACTGAAAATACCAATGAAAATATAACAGTCTACCTGTCTACATTCATCGCAGCGTCTCAGCATAGGACAGTGTTTCCAGTAGTGAAGGTCCAATCCATCCTCTGTGAATGACTCGTCCGTTTTACCGCAGAATATACACAGGCTGAAAGATCAGATCAGGCTGCAGATCAGATCATATGCCTTTACAGCATTCGCAAGTACTGCGGCACTAATGACATAAAAATATTACACTAAATGAAAGCCAAATAAATACTTATGCTGGGAAAAGAAAAAAAACACTAAACCTGTGAGTTTGAGACTAGGCTTATTTTCCATTTACATGTCGTTTTTTTTGCATCTTTCAATTATTCTAGTGATTTTTTAAAGCTCTCCATTGAATTATGAGCCACTTACTTGTCCAGATAGTTGACAGATTGTTGGACGTCATCACTGTTGGTAACCTTGTTCTGGGGCACTTTAGTGACAGCTGGAAATTAATCAGAAAGTATCTGTTACTTGTCATAACTGCACTAATTGGACGCCACCCTTTCAAGTATCGACCCAATGGGATTCAGCACTTTATAATAGAAAGACTGTACAGATGTTAAACAGGATGTAAAGACTTTGGGCAAACATGTAGGGTGCATTATTTTGTTAATAGAGCTTTGTAAATGTATGCTTTCATAGCTGGGTGGTGTGCCTGCACTCTATTTCAATAGGTTGACGGTAGAGATGGCTGGCAGCATCAGTGTCATGCCTGAGATGTTGATATAATGCATTCAAGTTGAGTTGATTCTGTTATTGACATACAAAGAAAGGTACCATCCTTGGAGATAAAGTGGTTAAACTCATGACTGCACTGTTGCTGGGCAACTGACAACAAAAGTAGACAATGAAAGGCTCCCTATGATCTTTGAAAATGGTCAATGATTTTTGCTTTTTTACATTTTAGTGCCATGCTGAAGAAACAAAAGAAAAATTAGGACAAAAGTAACTACCATGGGTTTACAAGTCACATGTCACAATTGAAGCCCTTTGAACTACCTTAAAATTTCCACTTGCATGTGGACGGATCACATTTGAAGGCATTAGTGCAAGTATTTGCACGTCTCAAAAGACTACGTCAGCCCCATATTGCTGTTTTGTGCTTCAAAGCAATACAGCCCTGGAGGTGTGCAGTATATAAGGATGTTTTACTTTATTAAAGAACAGCTTTATGTTAAGTAGGAATTGATGTGCTTTTGTCTTCTTTATATTCAAACATGTGTACGTACTTGCTTTGCCAGCTTTTTGGGACTGTTTCTCAACTTTGGCAGCTTCTTTCTTGGGCATTGGTCCTTCGATGCTTTCATGTCCTCTCTCCTTCACAAGCAAGCAGAGAAGTGTGAATAGATTCATAAGCACAGTTCCAAAAACAAATTCTATCACACAAGGAAAGCCTTAACAGCAATTTCAGATAGATGAACTGAATTTCTGACCACCTAGAGAGAAAAAATTCTACCAAGTCTGTGTGGAGTCATAAATACAAATTAGTAACCATTACAAGAAGTGATGTAATTGCAGTCTGATGACTGTTCCACCTACTGTGATCTCCTTCAAGGCAGCCAGCTGCTCCTGAAGGGAGTGGATCTCCTCCTTCTCTTTTTGCCCATCCTGCTGACCCTTCTTCACAGTCTGGGTGAAAAGTGACACACCATCAGCCTCTCAGTTTTAAATTGTCCTCTGTTTGCTTCTTTTCTCCTGTCTTTCTCCTGTTAATATAATTTCAACATCACCTCGCTAACTTTCATTTTCTTCATTTGAAGTTGAACGGCTTAAAGCTCTGCAGACTCTTTGGACTGCAGTGACAAGATGAGCACATGATCAGACATTTTAGCAGTTGAGCACTCCTCAACAGAATGGCCATTACGTAATGGGAAGACTAGGTCTCTAATAATACCTGTAAGAAATTAAGCTTGGTCACTGGGTGAGTCACAAACTTTATGTTAAAACAGTTGGAACACAAGCTGGCTTACTGACTGGGAACACTAATACAAAACATTAAAAAAAGTCAATAGATGCATGCATGGTTCTGTTTAGCCACATGCAGTAACAAAGAGACAAGACTGCCTGTAATGGCTCTGTTAAACGAAATGGCAGAGGTAGTTTACTGTCTATGCAACATGAAACACTGCCTCCTCTTCCTCGTTACTGTCAGCTTAAAAAAATAGAAAGACACGGTGTCATGTAGTCTCCTCTAAGAAGCTGAACTCTTTTCAGCTTGAGAGAGTGCTCCCATCTGCCACGTCTGACAGTTTCACCGTCCACCTACCAGCTGCTCCTTGTTGATTACAATCTGTTGAAATGAACAGTGTGAACACACCCTCTGCCTGGGAGTTTGATGCAAATTATTTTAACACAGTGAAACCCATCCAAATGTCAGAAAATTTATATTTATATATATAGAAATACGATTTTAGTTATTCAAATTTTTCTTCTTGAAGTGAAGATGTTAAGTATCAACGAGAGATTCGTTTGCATTGAAGTAAAAACAAACACTTCTTACACGAGTCTCCACCAGCTTTCCGTCAATCTTGGCAAAGCCATCGAAGAGGGATTTGTAGAGGAAGTTCTTCCGTGCGGCGGCATCATTGTGTGGAAGGTAGCTGAGAACAGCAGCTCTATACTGCTGGTACATGGATAAGATGATGCGCACTGCCAGCTCTCGAACCGCTGATGCACTGTGCTCCAAAGCTGCTGTACAGAACTGACAGAGAAAAACTGGGTTTCTAGTAACATGTGAATATTGAGCAAACATTTGACTGACTGGATGTTACTGTTCCAACATATACCATTAGACAGCTTCAGCATTGAAAAGAGACACAACCAACAGATCCACAGAGCATCAGAATGATGTTTGTGGATTTCAGCTCAGCATTCTACACAATCACCCCCTGATCGGCAAACTCAGGACTCTGGGACTGGATATTGGACTTACTCACATACAAAATCTCGCAGAGTGGTGCTCAGAGAACAATCTCCTGCTCAATGTCTGCAAAACCAAGGAGCTGATCGTTGATTTCAGGAAGAAGGAGATAAAGACACACACTCCTGTCTACATCAGTGGAGCTGAGGTGGAGCAGGTGAACAGTTTCAGGTTCCTGGGAATCAGCAGCACAGAGAACCTCACATGGTCGTCTCACATCTCCAGGCTGGTGAAGAAAGCTCAGAAACCACTATATTTTTCAGGTCAAATTCCCACGCCAACGTCTTGTCAGCTTTTACAGAGGAGCATCCTTACTGGAAACATCACTAACATGGGATGTGCACGGCCCAGGACCAGAGGCTCTGCAGCGGGGGATTAAAACTGCTCAGAAGATCATTGGTACCCATCTCCAGAGCATCAGTGATGTCGGTGAGGTGAGGTGCCTACGCAGAGCCCAAAGGATACTAAAGGACAGTACCCAACCAGCCACAGCCTGTTCACCCTGCTGCATTCTGGGAAGAGAGATAGAAGTTTCTGCTGCCACACCACCAGACTGCAGAGCAGCTTTCCCCCCCAAGCTATCAGACTCTTACACTCACATTCATCCTTAGCACTGCTCCTTTGATTATGGTTTATTTCTGTTCACCATTTTTAGAATTGCTTTTATATGTATATTGTCTGCTACGTAGCAGAAGGGAGTTTACAAACTCAGTTTCACTCTACACCCTGCTGTTTTGTGACAAATTAATCAACCTTGTACATTCATTTAAAAAATAAAGACTTTTTTGTTGTTGACATGACACTTATTTGGTACTCCAAGTATGATTTAATTTAAAATGATAAACAACAGAAAAGGGGAAAAAACTCTTCTACACACTTAGAAACCACCAGACCCATGGGCAACTAGTGATCATAAACCTGAGCGGATTACCATACGTTGACACACTTAAGTAAGCAGGTCTCTGCAGTAACCTCATATGATAACTGTCATGCATATTAGAAACCAAGTTTCCATAATCGGAGTAGGGAATTAGGGAAAACAGATTTCCCCAGCTACAAATCTCCTGGAGAAAGCCAATGTCTTGGTCACGAGATTGCATAACCGGGTTTCTATTCTTTATACCTATGCACATGTGGATGACAAAGTCAGATTATCAGACTCTCAGATTGTATCAATGCAACCATATAATCAAAATAAATATAATTCAAAGTCTGACTCAAATTGAAACTAATGCTGAACATTTGACTATTTGTAAAATTCACATGCAGGCTTATACGGAACAAATATGAAATCTGATGACAAAACAGTCAACACTCAACACAGATGTTGATTCTAATGCATGTCTTTGCCTTATGTAGGCAGTTTAAATAACTTTGTGTGTAGGTGACATACAATAAAACTTGCCTTGCCTTACCTACAGTATGCTGGGGAAACAAGGCAGGCCACAGAAAATATTCAGCGCTTGTTTTATAAAGGACGATGTCAAAGTTTTATGAAGCAATATTTGCAGTCTAGTTTCAAGTGCAAAACAGCAACATTGTAGAGAAAGTTCTTGGAGGAAAATGCACATCGTGACGTAAAAAGAGCCCATTTTCGGACATAATCTCAGTTCCAGAGGAGAAATCCCACTGGAGAGCATTAACATCCAGAGGTAAAATGTGTGCAAAGGCCCCCCATCCCTAACTCAAGAAGTTCAGGGACAGCTTCCCATTATTCTCTGTTGTCTCTGCCTACCGCCCACTTCTCATTTTAATTACTGAAATTCAATCACCACTTTTTTTCCACTCTGGCTCCCGTTTTGGAGCAGGTCACCCAGGTAACAGCGAAGGAAAGAGGAAAACCTCTGTAGAGCTGTCAAACAGGCTGGTCACATAAGCTAAAAAGGGGAAGATGCCAGTAAAAGTTTTAGCTGTGAATTTAGGGATTCAGTCATTAACCAAGTTTCTCGAGTGTATTAAATGAATTAAAAGATATAATCTATTGAGTGCGGCTACTACCACCAAACCGAAGGCACGGTGATGGTATATGCCATTTTTTGCACGTATTGGTGGGATTCATTCATATTTGGAAAGGAACATTAGATTGTAAAATCTAAGTATGAGGAATTATTTTAAGCATCACACCTACTTCACCACCTTCACTGGCACACGCTGATGCTTACATGTCTGGTATATCTAGTATATCGTTTTCTTTCTCCACTCACACACACACACACACACACACACACACACATAGTTGAAACTGTCTGATTTAGGCTGCCTAGCCACAACATACAGTATATAAGAGTTGTGAGTTTTGGTCATGCTTTGTGTGTCCTGAGGAAGAAGACAGCTATCTGTAATGGGTCGGCACAGTAAACACAAAGTTTACTGCAGCAACCAAGTACCTACCCTGAACCTTCTGTACTTTTAATTAAAAGATAAGCTGCCATGTAACAGTAACAGATCTGTATCATATCCATCTCTGTTAGCCTGGTTTTAGACATTCACAGCAAAAATCAAGGATGCATAACATTTTTAGAATCTAGGTAATATGTGTCCACAGTGCCGATGTGACAGTCAGGAGAAAAGGCAAGCTGTGGAATGAAGCACAGCCTGTCACATCTCAATCCAGACTGGAAATGTTTCCCAGGTAAACATAGGAGGCAGCCAAAACAAAGGGTACAGGCGCTGAGCAAGCTTGCACAAACATGCAAACACAGGCCACCCCATGCCACCTGTGCGGCTCTGGCTTCAGAAGGCGGAGGAACTCAGAAGAAAAACCTAACAATTTGCTCTCACTGATAAAAGCTGTTTAAAGTCAGAAGGAGGGCTGAGTGGAGGGGGATGGGTGGAGGACTGGTCGTAAACTAGAGATGGGAGGACAGGGTGGCTTGTTGTCCTGCCAGACCTGGTCAACAGTTGGATAATTTGCACGTAGATGTTAGGTCACTGCTGGAACCCAGAGGAGTGCAGGGGACGCAAAGTGAATGCCAATGGGGACAACATTGGGTGAACTCAATGGCCACAGAAAGCCAGCGAGGGACTGCAAACCTTTCAGTTACTCACACCAAAATTACTAAGCCTAACAGAAAATCTGCTTGACGGATGTCTACTTTTAAAGTCGAAGAATACAGGCTCGACACTGTGCAGATCTCTATAGAGAACATGTGCTATCATGTTAAAGAGGAAATGTTGTAATTGCTATTTCCAGATTAGAAAGAGTATCAGTGGGGAGGCAGAGTTGACTCCCCGCCAAAAAAGTATAGAAATCTTTGATGACCTGTTAGATTTTGACCGCTGACAGCTACAATGGCATTTTTGGGGGTGGCTGCTACTAGTACTTCGTGCTTTTTAAATCTATTTTTGAGATTTCACAGCTATCAAATCTCCTAAAAATGTACAGTGAGTCTAAAGCCTTGTGATCCTGAGCTAACAGGTTTAAAAAGATAATTGAGACCACAGCCATTCTCCAGTTCTGTATCAGAGAATAATTTCAATTAAAGCTGCAAGCAGCGTTGGGCGGGCCCTCGCACTTATAAGCGCGTCCGCGTGTGAGCCGGCCGAGTTGCATATTCTGGAGCTCTGCCGGTGCGGCTGTGAATTTGCTACGCGGTTATGACGCCGCATGAAGGTGTTATATGTCACTTCCTGTGTCCCCTGTGTGGAGCTACATAGCACTTGCCGCTATGAATATAAATCGGTATTGACGTGTAGATGTCTGCGTGGTGGGAGAGTTATCAAGCACGTAAAGTTTGTTTCAGATGTGAGCATGTACACTGAACAATAATGTACCCAAACAATAAAATAAATTCCTTTTATATTTCCCTGCCTTGTTGTTTATGTGTACATACAGAGGAAGAATGTGAGAACAGCACACATTTCATCGTTACTGTGTGTTAGAGCATGTGAGAACAGTGGATATTTAATACAGCCCACACCCCTAATACTGTGTAACTATAACAAGTAGAGAACAGAAGAAAAAGATGTTCTTTCTTTACAACTGTCTGCATAGCTTATTCATATTGTGTAATGAATGAAAATAAATAGGCCTACTAGGCTCCTCTCTACTTTGACATTTAAGATTAGCTGGTTTGATCCACCTTCATACACATGTGACATTACTGTACAACTTGAGAAGGTGAGTTGTTTTCTGCTCCAGCCTGCCTAAAAGAAAAGCGTTTTGTATTAAATGGACTTTAATAGCTGCTGCAGTGCAGGATGAACTCAGAACAGACCCATTTCTCACCTTATTATTCTAAATCATGCAACGAAGAAGAAGAAATGCATAATAAATCCTGGGACAAAATCTGTCCACAGCATGTAGTCTGATGAACAAGACTTGTGTTATAGCTGACTTGGGCAGTGAAATGTTTAATTTTTTTAATTCATGTGGTCATAGTTGTCCACAACTCAAATCAGAATATAAGAAGAAATGTTTTATACCACCTCAAGAAGGCTTCCTATCAGAAAGTTAGGAAGGTATTTCAAATGTACAACTGCAGTACTTAATTCTAAGTAAAGTAATTTCCCTGACATTACTGTGTTACGCATGTAACAGGTTTTATACTTCCTGTGAGTATAATCCAATCAATCTTATTTTCATACTGTATATCCGTTGTGTAATTTGATAAATTGTGTTGTGGTGCTCGCATCGGGTACAACTGACACTTCATTGCCCTCTTCAGAGAAGACTCTGACTGCAACATGCGTCTTTGTAAAGAGAGAAACGGACAAAAAAGTCTCTAACTCTGCCTGTCAGCTCGCTCTGCTCCGTTAAAACTGAATTTACCATACAGAAT